TTTTCACACCCACAGTATGGACACCATACTTGTTTTCATACCCACATTATGGACACTGTACTTGTTTTCACACCCACAGTATGGACACTGTACTTGTTTTTACACCCACAGTATGGACACTGTACTTGTTTTCACACCCACAGTATGGACACCGTACTTGTTTTCACACCCACAGTATGGACACTGTACTTGTTTTCACACCCACAGTATGGACACTGTACTTGTTTTCACACATACCGTATGGACAGCATTCTACTCACTGAACATGCATATTTCAACTACCATGAACATTTCTAATAACATCTCCGAGCATGTTTATGTGGTTGTAACATGTTTATAACATGTTTATATAACATACATGTCCATTCAGGTGATCTAATCCCCGATGGCAATTGTTGGAGAATGACTATGAACACTGTTTTATACACATTGTCTGTGTCAAAGATTCGACTTGTGCATGTATATTGAGTCACCGTGGATCTGTGTTGTGCACTATTTTGAACAGTCTTTTTGGGACTGGTATAGTGAGGTGCTTACAGTGAAAACACTTTGCTGTGTCATGGATTCTCGCATACTGCGTGTTAATAGTAAACATCTTGAAATATATTCCTTTATTATTTTTTATTTGATAGGAGGTTGCCCGTAGACACATGGCTGCTCTATGTGGTCGTTATGTAAGGCTTGTAAACGAAAACAAATTGTACATTCCTTCCACTGGAATACGACACTCCAGAAATGGCATTTGTCTCTGTCAGTTTGTACAATTGGAATGCTTCAACGAAATGGTGTGACGTTTTGTGCATATAGTGCATAGCACTTTCGATTTCTATATCTCATGATTTGCCTACACTTTTTTCAGAGTTTTTGCTTTATGCTCAGCAGATTTATTTACTTTTATTATTAGACGCATCTTGAAAGGAAGGAACTCAAGACTTTTAGTCTTATTATAATGCACTTAGTATAAGAAGTGGTTTAATGTCTTTGAGAAAATATTTCAAACACTGAACCAGGACCCATTTTGTTATAATTCAATCATTTAGAACGAAAAATTATATTTTCATGCAAGGCCAGACTAAAAGTAGTTTTAGGAGCATAGTGTCATGTAGTCAGCAACCATTATTATGTGCATGCAAGACAGATTAGTGCAAATGAATACATATTTATAAATGTGCTATCAATTGCAAATTATAATATGACTTTGGAATCTCTTAATAAATTCAAATGATGGAATTCACCATTATGATCAATAAAGTTGATAGAACTGCAATTATGTAAATCATTACTTTTAATATATACAGTCAGCATCCTTTATTTTATGTTTTTGATATATCAAACCCTGCAAATAGAAGTGTGCATGGAATCATGGGAAAAACGGTGTGCATTGCCGTGTGATAACTCTCATAAAGGTAATTGACAGGTCATACTCGTTTATAACTCTGGAAGAACAGTTGGAATCAACCAGGTGTGCTTGTGATTTACATAACAAAGGATGTTTACGATCTACTGAGTTGCCTATGCGAGACAGCTGCTGGCAAGACCACATTCTGATTGGCTCATGTGGAAACCCAGGTGGTGTCCCTGAATCTGGGCCATTTCGGCCTATAAATAGGCTACACTGAGGATAGTTGGGGGTCCATCATTTCAACTAAGTATCCTGTATGTTGCTGCTGTGATATTGTGAGACAAGTGATACAGGCTTCAATCATCGTTCTACGAGACTTGTATGAACTGCTCTGCGATCTCCTGCTTACCGTGGTGCCCTCCAGAATACCAGCTTTCCTCTGCAAGCAAGACTCCTGTATTTCTTCGTTGTGTTGCAGAAGCCATTGACTGTCATCCATTTCTACACCGTGGAACTGCGAGTTATCACCAATGCACACGACCCTTGGCAATCTATTTTAGTGAATTTATTCATTGTATTTTTCTGTGTTTTGTTTCTTGCAATTATTTCGAGAGGTATTAACTTGATATTGCGTACCCGGTATATGCATTTCATTTCCAGTACTATTGTCTTGTGGGTGCCCCTCTCAATAGAAATAAGCAGGCCTCACACTGACGTGCACAAATAAGTCCACCTCAGAGCACCATGTCTGCCAATTAGTGGCCTTGTGTCAAAGCCGCCGACTGTACAGGTTCCTTTGTAACCACCATACCTTAGCTCTATGCTACGTTAGTTGCTAAACCATCTGGAATGTGCATTTTACCATGCAACTCATTTCCTACATGATCCCGATTTATCAGCTTCTGACCCCCTAGAGTCAACCCAATTCTTAATTGTGCAATTGTATTATTTGCCTCATCTAAATTGCATTCATTATTAAAGGCAATATCGCCAGCATGATTCTTTGTGTGCTCATGATGCTTACAAGTCAATTTAGCAAGAGTGAATAAGCTGAAACAAAGTTCTCATCTAGCAACGCCTCAAAGCATCCTAGTGGTAATATCTATCAAAAGTCAGAGGAAAATCCAATGAGCTACCCTTACAAGCTTAACAACTCTCATAGTATCAATAGTGTTGGAAGATTTAAGTTTGTGATGTTTCTTAGGGAGATCAGCGGTCGTTGGTATCCCTAGCACAAATACTGTGGGGCATGGTAATGCATTAGATAAAGAACATGCATATCACCAGTATCTAACAATTACATTTTTGTAAACATAAATTTGTAACAACTGTTTTGATGGCGGTGAAGATGTAAACTTTTCAGAATGTATTATCTTGGGATTTTTTGTGACTAGGTTAATTGTCGGTGTCGCATACGACTTATTTACCATTTTCGTGTCACTGAGAATGTTCTAGAAACGCACTGTGTCTGGGTAGAATATTCTAGATTTTGTTTAGAAACTGGTTGAATAGGTAATAGAACACTGTAGGAGGCAATAGAAGGTAATGGAACATTCTAGAAATTTATTGTAAATTCCAGACTCATTATGTATGCTGATGTAATGGTCTATTTATAGACAGTGTGGGTATATATAGGGGAGTTGTTCAGCACCGAGTTCAGATCGGAGATCTCGTTGAATTGTATTGGAGTTTAAGTATCTAGTTATTGGAGGTTTGGAGTTTTACTGCGTTATTGTACTTGAGGTTTGCAGAATATAATAATACCAGTACCGGTTGAAACCTCATCTGTTGGCTCCGTGTTCGTATTTTATCATCACCGCCAGGGAAGTCTTTCTGTTACTGTTGCCATTTTGGTATTTGAACCATCACACCTGTACTATACCAATTACGGTAATATTACGTTAAGTGTGACAGTCGGGGGGGGGGGGGGGGGAATTACAACTGGTCAATTTGGAGTGATAGTTCGGAAATAAGCACTCTAAGACGATAGTCAATATTGAATGTAGTAAAATTGAGATTTAATTCAGAGGAGCCTTGTTTGGGCAGCCATTGAGGCACTTTCAGTCACCTTTACATACAGAAAACCTGCAATTTAAAAAAAAGGTAATATTTTTCTGAGAATTTTTAAGAGTAAGATTGTGCATTAGGTTCACCTCCTACAATTTGAATATTCAAATTTTAGTGGAACATGTATCAGCCAGATTAGTGGATATGCATATAATGATAAAACAATAAGCCAATCAAATTCATTATAATTTATTTTATGGAATAGAAAGAATTATATTTTAAAAAAATCAATTCAATATAAATTAAATCAATTAGAAAATTAATAAAGTATATTAATATAAATTTTTTAACATTTAAAAGAAAATGCACTATTTATGTGAAAGCGGGGGAGTCATCACCAGCGCACATGTCAGATGGCCAAAACCTGTCATTGTTTACCAACAATTGTCTACCCATGAGCCTTTGCGTTTTTAGTGTGCAGTGTTCTCCCCAGACTTCATGTCAAGCATCACGACCAATTTGCATAACAATGCATCTAATTTGCATAATTTTTATTTGCATAATAATCAGTTTTTCCCAACAAATATTGTCAATCTACAATTAATTAAAGACAAAATATTTTTATATCTGATAAATTTTATATCATTTTACTGCATTGTATTTTTTGTTTTTGTATCAAGTCAAATAAAGTTTAAAATGGAACATCATAAAAAGGAAAAAAAAATTGAAAAACTTTTGTTATAGCCAGTCAGTGAATATACTGTTATCCATGGATGTAACTGGTTCATCATTGTGTATAAGTTTTAGTGCCCATGTCACTGTCGGTTCATATAAACGTCGGGGAAAACATTTTTTGGTTAAATATATAAAGTCGGCAAGATATCGAAATATGTTGAAATTAATAAATCAATAATTTAAAAAAAAATTCTACAATGGCAGTTCGGCGATTTTTCATTGCAATATACCTTGTGAGTACAACGCTACGATCACCGTAACATTGTCAGCTGACGGCATTGCGTTGGACGGGTATTCACCGCTGCTATTGCTATTGCGTCACGGACAAAGGGCAAGCATCACGACCGAGTGTTCAAGCGTCACGGTACCGTGTCGCTTCAGAGGCCTGGGGAGAACACTGGTGTGTGTTGTTGACGTCGATTGGGACTCGATTTCCATTTAAGTATTATTGACCTTAAATCTCACACAGCAAATCTGTCAAGCCCAAATTTATTGACAGAAAACACAAGCTGAAAAAGGGGAAATTTCTATCAATTATTCCAGGTAACCCATAAGTGATTATGCAATCAGTATGGTACAGGGACGCCAAATTATGACTGGTTAATTGTCCTCATAGTGCTAACACACAAATCTGTCATCTACTGAGGTACCTAATAGAGATGTATATGGGTAATGTCAATTTGTACACAAGGTTATACCCCTACAATAAATGGATGGTTTAGTGCTTCCCTGGCAGTGATTCGTGTGTGTGGATTTAAATCTAACAATCTCTTTAATAAAGTATATGCACAATCAGGCACTTCGTCCCATGATCTCTCCCGAGCAGATTCTTTGTTCATTTTCTGAAGTCTTGGGGAACATCTTTTACCACTGAGGGGACTGTCATTTTCTGGTTCTACAATGGATTCTTCAAGTTTTCTGTTCCGTGCGATCAGCAACTGTTCTGGGGATTTGTCGCTAGATTTGCCTCGAAGTTTCTGACACATAGTTTTTAAATCAAGAGCAGGTTGTTCTTGACTACACAGCAGGTGTTTACCTGGTAAAAAAAAATAAAAATAATGAATTTACGCAAGACTTGAAAGTTGCACTCCGAAATCATACTTCGAGGTGTTTTGAGACTAGCATACCACACATTAATGAAAACTGTAACAATACAATTAATTTGTGGTAGTAGAGAATAATTTATCACTAATATTTTTCTGTCAACTAATAATTTAAACAGTGATTCAATTTGTGGGGGGGGGGGTGAATATAACATTTACCATGCTACAATGTAGATGTACATGTATTGGCATGCAAACTGAGTAGGAAATTCTCACACACAGCTCCGAGGAGAATAGTACGCAAATCTTCAAATGGGGCTCTTCAGGATTAAATTTAAAACACATCAAATTTATTGATTTATTATGGAAGACAAATAGGAAAAAAACTCCACTACATCGAACATGAAAATACAAGTAGAGTGTTACAAGAACAGTACTCTCAGTTCTTCTTGCAATAAAGTTACAATGCAATACTATTTTCTGATATTAAGTCGACTAAGTTCATCTTTTACATGGAATGCCGCCTTTACACGGAACATTAAAACACAATTTACCTCGCAAAAAAGGACATATAAAAAAACATTAGATGTCAGTTATATGTTTGCTAAAGTACTGATGCCTTGAACTTTATATTTGCAGTTTAAAATGTTTACATAGGAAAGGATACCTATTGGAAGACTAAGAATCCTTAATGTACAAATAGAATTTTGTTGTTGGAATAACTTATAAGGTATTCATAATAACAATTTCTTTTACACACACAATTAAGAGTTAAAACATGATTCAATGAAAGACACTGATTCATGCATGAGGTCATTCAAAGTATTTGTATAAAGTGGCAATAAACAGTATCCAGACAATTTGAAACTCAATTATTAACTGTAAGGAAAAATCAATTAAAATTATATTTTCACTTAGACAGTAATTTAAAGCGGAGGGGTCATCACCTGTGCATTCATGGAAATTGAGTCCCAAGAGACAATAACACAGCTAAAAATGCAAAGGCTCATGGGTTTGTTTGGAAACAACAACATGCTATGGTTGTCTGCCACATGCACTGGTGACAACTCCCCCGCTTTAACCAACTACAGATAAATCAACATGTTAGATAATCAACTGCAGATAACTGTACTCACCATACTGCCTAGCTGCTGCCTTCATTTCCTGACTGCCAACTATATTAATAATTTGTGCCAGTGCAGTCATATCATCTGGGGCCTTGAAGAATGGGTAGCGTCCAGTTAGCAAAGTGAGGAAAATTACACCAGCTGACCACATATCAACAGCTGCAGAGAGGAAAAATTATTACCGGTATGTTATTCTGTTTTGTTATGAAGGTAACATTATTAAACTATACTAAAATACATCATTATAGGTGATCAGCCTGAGCTGGATTTTCTATTCCTGATGAAGATAACATTTCGTGAGCGCAGAAAAGTATATATATAATTACATGACGTACAATGTAGGTTCAAATTCTACAACCAGGGTCACCAGATAAATGTTTTCCGGCACATTTTTGTCAGACTGCAAAGGAACTTGATCTGACATAATTACATTTGACGAGTCTAAAATAATAAATCCTAGAGATCTTGTATCTGGTTACGAAATGGCAGGAATGTTTGATTTTGATGAATTTTTAGCACAAATATGGCCACCGTTCAGCCATCTTGAATTGGATCAAGACATGAATGAACATGCATATGTCGGGGACAACAAAAAAGATCTATAGTTACCGGTTTAAATAGAAAATGCTTACAGATTTAACTGTAAAAACATGATACTGGGTCCCTTAAGGTGTTCATGTACAAATCAAATTGCAGTGAATATAGGGAATATTGAACCCAAATGACCTTTAAAGTTCAGGTTGGGTGGTTAAGGAACATTTTGTCACATGCATTTCTTAATTTTAAATGACATGCAGAATTTATATTTGCAATAATAAACTCTTTGCTTCAGTATTGTTTCAATTCAGTAGTTACACACCTGTTGTTTGATCAGGACACTTGAGAAGAACTTCTGGTGATCTAAATCCAGGTGTACCAGCTCTTGGTGCAGTTTGATTACTTCTACACAAGCAAACCGAACACACTTGAGGTTTTCCATAACATGCACATGTATGCTGAGGAGACACGCATGAAATACCAGATTTCTTTGTAAGGTACTCATTCTTAGCAAATGATAAATGTTTGGATTGGACTTTTGTACGACTTGGGACAAATGTTTTTTTTGCTGTGATAGTTTGTTTTGGCGATTTAAACGCCTTGGCGAAAGTATTCGGTCGTGTTAGTTTGTGATTAGTAACTGTATTAGGGTTGACTTCAGTTAATTTAGCTGGAACTCTACCATCTTCTGATAGTTGTCTCTTAGCAGGGCTACGGTTTGAAGATTTCATCTACGAAGAAATAAAATAAAATTTAGTATATCTTAATACAACATGTTGGGCATAATCACAAACAAACAGCAATAGACAAGAAAACAAGTCATTGAAAATGACACAGTTCCCATTAAATTAAGCGGAGGGGTTGTCGCGAGCATGTCCTTGAAACTTGAATTCCAAGTGACGTACACAACAGATTGTTTATTTACATCAAAACGCGTGTTCCGTGTAGTAGTAATATGGCCAAAAATAAAAACAGTCGTTATTCAGCCATCTTTGATCTGACTATGAAACACACTGATATGTATGATGTATCTGCCAAATACGAATGAAAATGGTACATAAATTGTGGAAATATAGTAGTAAGGCAAAAAGTCAGATGGCTGTCAATCGACCATCCTTGACCAGATTTTGAAACAAATTGTCATGGACATGCATCCTAACATGTATAAAGTACATGTATGTGCCAAGTTTGAATGACAACTGACAAAGCATGTCCAAAATACAACATTTTCAAAAGACTGGCTGCCAGTCGGCCATTTTAAATCGAATCGCTAAACCACTGCATGTGCATATGACCTATATAAGGTACTAGGCACATGCAAAGAATGAACGAAATCTGTCCACAGGATTCTGAAATATGACTCTAGACAGACTGACGCACGGACGGACGGATAGACTCAGGAACTCACGGACGGCCGGGGACATATATCCTAACGTGTATGATCTATGTACTAAATTTGAGTGAAAACAGACAAAACATGTCCAAAATAAAACATTTTCAAAAAACAAGATGGCTGCCAGTCGGCCATCTTTGATCCAATTGTGAAATAAATCGTCATGGACATGTATCCTAACATGTATAATCTATGTACCAAGTTTGAATGAAATAAAACATTTTCAAAAAACAAGATGGCTGCCAGTCAGCTATTTTGAATTGAATCACTAAACCACTGCATGTGCATATGTCCCACATAAAGTACTAGACACATGCAAAGAATGAACGGAATCGGTCCAAGGGATTCTGAGATACGACTCCGAACGGACGCACAGAGACCGAATTATAAGTCCCCGTTTTCGGACTTCGTCCGAACAGAGACTAATAATTGCATCCTGTACAATTTTACTGTACTGTAAAATACATTTTGCTGCGAAGAAATTTTGTATGAAATTTATTGCCACTGATTTTTGATGAGTTGAATGTAAATTATATAAAAAAAGATTTTCGCTGGAATTTATTTTCACTGAATCACCCCTTCACCAAGAATAAATTCCATGCGAAAATAAAGTATTTTACAGTATTAAAAGTTCAGGAAAATCAGATAAGTAACAAATAAAATGAAACTTTGCATCACAAATGACAGAATGAGAGGTGTTACCTCGTTTTCACTCGATGACTGAAGACGTTTGGCCTTTTTCTTGGGTGTTGTAGGTGCAGTAGATGTCCCTTGCCTGTGTTTAGTTGGTACAGGGGCTTTATGTGCTAGACCAAAGTCAACTAAAGAATACCTGCCAATAAAATACTTATATTATCAAGTCATAGAATTATCATGAATTTGGTTGATTAGTTTGAAATTTATTTTCACTATATTAAAACTAAAATTGTCTGTACATTATACATTTTTTCTGATACTACTCAGTATTTTTGTTCTAGATACTGGTGTAAAAACATCAGCTCACAATACAGTATTTTACTGTAATAGAAAGTGGATTGATGTGGGAAAAAAATGACCACGCCCATTTAGTGATTGTAATATGTACCTAATATAAACCGCACCCCGAACTTGAGCTGTTGATCCCAATTTTTTATTTGATACATTGTAATATAAACTGCGGTTTATAATAGGATTTTAACGGTAATAATTTGGACTTACTGTTTTGTTTTTCTGTTGTAAAGAAAGTTACTTGGTTTGACATCTCTGTGTATGATATCAAATTCATGAACTCTTTTTAGCGCAATAAACAAGTTCCGCATATACTCCTTGACTTCATTGACAGATACATCAAGTATATAGTCCTGCAAATACAATTATACTTGATATGAACAAAACATCAGGAACATACATACTATTTAATTTTGTTTTGACAACTGTCAACAAGTCAGCTACATTGTATATGCGCGTTTACCAGGACTGAGTATGATAAGAATAAACTTCATTTAAACTTGATGACATGTTAAGCAATAAGGCAGATCTTCTACAGTGATGGCAGACATTGAAAATTCACATTAAAAGTTTACTTAGCACATACAAATACACAAAAAACAAAAACATCAAAGAATATTGACTCAAAATTCTTTACAAATTTCTGTTGAAACTCTTTATTGAGGTTGGCAAATAAGTTTTATAAAGCAATCTATGAGCACAGAAGAAGATGACTGCACCTAAACAAGGTCAACTTTCATGAAACGTTACAAGATAATCAATATGATTTTTCCAAGATAAATTATAATTTATATTTATTATGATTCACTTTTGTTTTATTCAAATGGCCATCTTTTTGGCGAGAGGTAATTAACATGGATTTAATCAAAAAAAGTAAAAAAATTCAGTGCCCTGTGAAAAAAACATTTCCCCTTAATATCATGTAAATACTGCACCATTTATTAAATGTTTCAACGTTACCTTTTACTTAATAATAATTTTGTTTTAAATTAATAAATAATGATTTACTTACACTGAATTTATCATGAGAAAAGTATGGCATTACAATGACAACATTATCTCCATTTCTCAATAAAAGTTGTACTCCCATCACATTATCACAACCACTAGAAAGAAAAATCAGACAAATATCAGTGATTTCCGGTTAGAAATGAATTACAGGCAAATACAGCCTCAAATCACAATTTGCAAATAATCAGCAATTGGCAAATCTATTTAAAATGACTACCCGAGAAAAAATGTCTGAAATTCACAAACATACCAAGAAATAGTGGGAGATTCCTCAGAAATTGATGTGAATCGCTTGTTCTGAATGAGACATAGTTATTATTTAGTTTATTCAGTCATAGAAACATTATATCTTGCATTGAAATCAACATGGAATGGTAATACTTACCCAATTGTTTGAAGACATCTGAGTTCACTTTCTATTCTACTTGGATGACTTGTTGGTATGATGTGCTTCAATGCAAACTTGGTATCTACTTGTGGGTAGTCTGTCAGCCTAGCACAGTACACTGCACTAAATGTACCTAGAAAATAAGTGTTAATGATAGCCTTATGTACCATTGGCAGATGTGCTGTTATGATGTCTTCATACAAAGTATATTCATATTTGAAAGTCAACACCTGTCACATGTTTAGAACAGGCACAACTTAGGGATTACAAAATGACAGTCAAATGGCATGAACAACTGCACACAGCATCACTATAAACCCTTATTTGGCCAAGTCAATGTAAATGTATCTGACAGGCTAAGGGTTAGTGTCCACAATTCAATCACCTGCAAGTGTTCATGACAAGTCAATTTCATGAAACCCCATGTGACAGACTTCAAGTCTCAAAAACCTCAGTGTCATTGTCATGAATACAAATTGTGCACCCAGACTTATCTTGTCCAAAATTCACATTCAATATATGACAACAATTGAAACTGTATTGACTATACATGTTAGATAAATATACATTGTTCGTACCTTCTCCTATTTTATTTGTAATATTGAATACAGTGCTTAGCTTTGGTAAAGATGACACCAGCCTCTCTATGTCTTTTTTAACCGTTTCTGTAAATAGAATACATACATGTACTAATAAATACTCTAAAAGCAACACTGTCATAAGTACTACACATACATGTACTAATAAATACTCTAAAAGCAACACTGTCATAAGTACTACACATGTGTGTACTGTGGACACATTAATTATTCACTGATTTTGTTATTTTAGCTGATATGTGAAATTGGTTAAATTAAATCTACATGAACATGTACAATAACAATAGAACTAGAAACCCGGAGAAATTGCTCAAAACATCAAAAAAGGAAAATCAGCATCCCAGTGATCCCCTGGTTTACAACATCGATGCAACACAGACAGCAACACAGCAGAAATAAAAAATGAAGAGATTAGCAAAACAGAACCAAAGAAAAGAAAAGTGTTGATAAATCATGGTTACGCCGAACACCAGATGGAACAGGTAATTACAAACCTAATTTGTTCGATGTGACATATTTTGACACCTATTTGTGACCTCGTGCAATAAGACTAAAGGCAAAACACCCAGCATTGATAAACATCCACTGTGTTACTCACTGCCTAGCATCAGCTGCTGGACAAGCCATGAATGGAGTAAAGTATCTGTACAGAGAATCCACCACTCTCCAGCAACTTTATAATTTTTATCAACATTCATTGTCAGGCTTAAAGGTGATTGAGGCAACAATCAAAATTAAAGCCATGTTTCATTTAGTTGTTTTGAATTTTGTAATTTCACTATTTAAAAATGTATTTTGTTTACAGTCAGTACTTTAGGGGCCACAGATAAAACTGAAAGAAGCAAAGGCTGTGCGGTGGCTGTCCCATCAGAGAGCTGTACATGCTCAAAGGAAAATACTGTCGTTTGTGATAGCGAGTCTGTGAGATTTATATATTTCATGATTGAAACTGAAGCAAGAGGTTTCTATTGGCTAACAGAAAAGCATGAGAAAGTTTTCAAATAAATATTTAAAAAAACAAAAGGAATGTCTTTGTTGCACAAAGGAACTAACAAATAAAATCAATCAATGGTTGCACTGAGAGTATTCTACATTATAATATATTGTGTATTAACTAACATTTTTGTGAGACAATTTGGTTTATGAGCAAAAATTCTGAGAAAAAATATAAATCATGAAGCAAATGTTTCACCCAAATCTGGTGATAACAAAGTAACTACAACACTTCCTGGACACGCATACAATGTACATTTCTTGGAACGGAGACCAATAAAAAAATGAGAAAACAAAACTGTTGTGACTAAAAACACTAAAAATGTCCACAGTTCTAAGTAAAAAAAAAAAAAAAAAGTATTAAAAAAAATCGTCTGGCACACCCCAACCCTGATTTAAAAAGTGAATAACCCTTACCAGAAATTTGACCTTCGCTATTTGCTCGTTTTCTTTTTTTAGCAACACTGCGGTGAAACCGTTCATCCTCCGTATTATTAAAATCCAGTACACTTCCTGTACCCATTGATCCTGTCGAACTTCCCTCAACTTCACATCCAGCCATTGATAGATAGATAGATAGAGGGCGTTTGTCCAAGCAACAGGGTGTTTTCAGTGCTCTTCATAAATTCTGTAAAGTTATACGAATTTTACCCGAAATAACATTTAAAAGTGACATAGACTGCTCAGTGAAGAAATATCTTATCATCAGGTGTTTATTGCGCTATAGTATTGCTCGAAAATGTTTTCTCAACACGAGAATATTCCCGAAGTTCCGGTTCAGCGAAAGCACATGTGCGATCAACATGGCCGAATACACGCAAGTTTATTCATCTTCGGGATCTTGCTACTTTTATCGGGCGATATTGAAGTAAACCCTGGCCACCTCGCAAGATGCCTGATGGTCAGCGAACAATATCTGAGTCGATGACTTTGCGTAGTAGCAGTGGTCAGCATGTTTCGCCATTAACAAAAACCCAGTTAACGCAAATAGAAGACGGGGTAGACAAAGAGGGTCGCCATATTGGATTACAAGAGACTGGTGTCGAACGTGTTGATGAGTTTACGTTGGCTGATGTCATGATGGAAATGCGGGGTTTGCGCAAAGATATTATGGATCGTATCGAAGTGGTGGATAATAGAGTGAGGGTTTTAGCAGAGGAGGTAAAAGTCCTGGAAAG